TCTTTCTCTTTACCCTGTAATCGGGTTCCTTGCGTTCTCAGATGCTGAAATTCTTCCCTTTCACCGAGAAGCGACGTTAAATAATTACCAAAGTCGGAGAGCAGATCTCAGAGTGCAAAATAGAAAGTTACTTTTTTAAATAAGAATCTGCCCTTAATCTACAGTTTTACGAGTCTTGCAAATTTCGGATCCCTCTAAAACTATAAGAGTATCTGCTCCTATAACGGTATATTTTAGTTTCACTCTAAGCCCTTGCACTCTCCTCGTCAACCTTCTAGATCACTTCCTCTCTCAGCACCGCCTCCCTCTTTTTTTCCTCCGGTAGTTGCAACGAAGGTAACGAAGAGCGAAAGATCGCGTACAGAGTTGCAACAGCCCCGCGATTTCAGATTCCAGATTAAATTGCTTCGACGTCGAGTAATTAGAATTTCATTAGCGAGTCTCTTGCAGCGTATCTTCCCTTGAAATTCTTCCCTGTACATTTTCTAGCCCCCTCCTTCTCCGTTCCACGCCGGAGATACACCGTACGAATTTGTCTCCGCATTCACCGCGCACACGGTGCTGGTTATAATTAGTCAAAAGTATTGTTCCGTTGCTTAATCGATTAACGCAATTAGATGCAGCAGCGGGAACGGTAATTTCCTCCGTGACGACTGACAAACGACTGCCAGAGCTCGCGACAGCGCGTGCAACATGTGCCTTAACGGCGCACGTATGTACGTGCAGATCGATGGGATGCACTCGATTTCGCTTTTCGAGCGAACGACGTAATTGCAAAAGTTTGACGACGTCGACGACGACGTTTCACTTGCCGGAGTAATAAAGGTGCACAACTTCTCGAGACCCCGGCCTCGGGACATCAACTTCCGAGGATTTACAATTTTCTCACGGGAATTCCAAATGAAATTTCAGGGGATATACTTGAGCAAAGCCTCGAACGCCTCCTGGTGAAATGTTAACGATACGAGGAGCAACGGTAGGGTTGCCGTCTCGAGTACAATACGTGAACGATGATTTTTTTTATTATTCAACGCTAGGTTAAATTGACGCGTGAACGAAACCGCACATTTTCTTTAAAAAACAACATATCATACTCTATTAACCCTTTCATTGCTATTGGCTTTGAAAATTTGCTTACGTTATACTGTCGGAGCCTTTCGGTGCACTTCCACTTTCAATTTCATTATTAGATAGGGTTAACTTATAAAATGAAACTGTGATATTATGCATTCACGTAAAATTGATAATAAGCATAAATGGTAGGAGAGAGTTTCTGTAATTTTCCTCGTGAAATTCAGTAAACCCAGTCTTAATAACGACAAATTACAAGTTGAATTTAGATTTACGATTATTTCGTTTAACAGAAATGAACTGTAGAGATTTAATAAGAAGAAACTGGATGTTAGATTATGAGTTAGATTTAATAGAGACAAATTGTAGGTTAGATTACACGCGTGAGACTTGAGACGAACAAATTGTAGGTTAGATTGTAGGTCAGATTTAACAAAGACAAATTGTAGGTTAGATTTAGTACGAACTAATCTTTCCTTCTGCGCAATTCAGCGTACAACAATAACAACGTACACATGTTCACCGTTCCGTAAGCCGTGACTAAACTTGAAAGAGTTAAAAACGGGACTACTAGCGCCACGAAACTGGTATTCGGGAAAAATGCGAGTCAGAGGCGCCCAGTTCCCGTAATTTGCTGGCTGAACGAAGAATAGCCGAGGAGAAAAGTTGTTCGCGCGCAGAGCGGCAAAGAGACACATTTCAACGAGAGCTGTCAAGATTCTCGAGAAGTTTCTCTTGGTCGTTGAAGCAAACTCGCGATTTTTAAAAGCAATCAGAGAACGAGTCTGCGAGTTCTCCTTTTTTCCCCTCTTTTTCCAATGGTTCTCTGTCTCCTCGATTCGAACACTCCCCATAGAAAACCTGTTTACCCCGGTATTCGCCTAAATCGCAGTTGGGGATAACTTTTACTTTTACGATTGCATCGCATTTGCCAAGTATGCCGCGGCCCGTTTCCCACCATTCGCCCTCGCCACCCGCAACACTGATCAAACTTTCCTCAAAATCTTCCTCTATGCTTCTTTCCTTTCGGGAACTTTCCGCCAACTCCTCTATTCGCAAATTCTTCCTCTTCTTCTTTCCCTTTTTCTAAAGATTGCGAGTTGAGTGAATCGTGAAATATAAAGTGTGGCACCGAATATTTGACGTTAATTATTAAGAACCTAGCAAACGAGTAAAGAGCAGTAAAATACTTTCCGACTGCTTTGGCATGTGGTTAAAAATGAAAAAAATAGCGTACTACATTTGTCGATTCCTCGTGAAAATATAGTGTACCACGTTCTCTCGATTCTCGGCGAAATTTCCAGTTGAGAAGAACTCGAAGACGTTTTAAGGTTAGAACTCGTGAGCGCTTTTCAGGGATTGGCGTAGGCCCGTCCCGGTAGCGACGTCGTAGGTCTCAAAGGAGCCCCGTTCGAATGCACGACTCGGGTCAACATCGGAGATATCGTAAATTTCCAGTTCGTTATACCTTTTCTTTGCTCCGAGCAGGCCGAGAATCGTGTCACAGAGTGCGGATGGCAAGCATTCAAAGAGCAGCACTAGAATCCAATGCACCGCTGCCATAGACGTCATTCCACGGAGGCCGAAAGTTGGATATGTAAACTTTCGGTTGCTTCGCCGACCTTTCTTAATCAGGTCACTCCATGTGCATCCTATCGGGGCAGCGTTATATACCACTGGCCCTTCCACGTTCTTCCTGCAACAGTTCAACGAGAATTTTACAAATTTCATCCCAATTCGATATTTACATCGGAGGAGAATTCGGTTAATATGGTTTAAAGAGGTCTTTAAGACGAATATAGTCCATATTTTCCAAGTATTCCAGGTCACCGTCAATTTCTTCTAGATGAAACTGTCATTTTTTCATGTCTATCTTTTAGCGCCCTGTATGCCAACAGTTGATCGTAGCAGAGAAATGCAGCAAAAAGTCGGAAAAACGATTTATGTAAAGTTAATTAGTGGTGCGTAAACAAAATTTTCGTAAATAAAAAGTCGTACTGAGGTTTGTAATATACTAAGTTATATTGCCGTATATTGGATAAAACGAAGAAAAAAATATTTGACAAGTGATCATTATAAGTAACAGAATGTACCGAAAAGCATGCTGAATCCTAAGTTAGATCAGATTTAAATGAAATTATCGAAACTCATAGATATCGTCAAGAGTGAAGAATTAGAGTCTGACAAAATGTAATCAAATTTTACGTATAGTACTAACAAACAGATGAAACAACATTCGAGTACAACTGTGAATAATGTATCGCGAGCTACAGTTCGAGCACGACTTCCGATAATATTGCTCAATCTAACCCTGGAATCGTTTGACGTCATTGTAACGAACGAAGCTTAGGTAAGATTAAAGGAAATAACCGTGCATGTACCCTCGTAAACCGAGTATGTATACCGGTCACTCTACGTAGCTACTTCAAACTTTATAGTCTTGACCACCGAGCCTGAGTTGCTTGTATTTTATAGAAATCCTACCTCGATCGTCATTTCCAAGAAATACCTTCCTCCTCGCTATTTGCTTCTTGCACATCTTCCGTCCACTTACATCCACGCACTCGCCGACGTTCTACCCGAGTACATATATTTTGCATTCGACACTCACCTACAAATCTACGTATACCTCGACCATTGCTCGGAGAAGTTGAAGTTTTACAGCTCTCCTCGGTTCTACCAACTTATGGGTCCCAATTGTAGGAACCTAGACCAACGGGAATCGAACCCGGGACCTTCGGCTTTGCGCGCTACGCCAACCACTTCCTCTGTATTGTCCCTTCGAGGTTTCCTATTTGGGCATGGAGGCTCCGATAATACACTCGGCCATCCTGAACTGACACTCGCCCTCGAAATGTCCTCAGTGCAACACAATTACATCCACGCACTCGCCGACGTTCTACCCGAGTACATATATTTTGCATTCGACACTCACCTACAAATCTACGTATACCTCGACCATTGCTCGGAGAAGTTGAAGTTTTACAGCTCTCCTCGGTTCTACCAACTTATGGGTCCCAATTGTAGGAACCTAGGGAAGAATATCGAGGGAGCCAACGGGAATCGACCCCGGGACCTTCGGCTTTGCGCGCTACGCCAACCACTCCCTCTGTATTGTCCCTTCGAGGTTTCCTATTTGGGCATGGAGGCCCCGATAATACACTCGGCCATCCTGAACTGACACTCGCCCTCGAAATGTCCTCAGTGCAACACAACTCAACTCAACACTTTCGGATACACTCCCCCACACAGTGGCACTCTTTTTGGGAGACGTGCAAAACCCTCTCATCACATGTTTTCATCTCACAGCGCCTGGCGTCGTGCAGCCGTAGATGCCTCCATCCCGGCTGAGCCCCCATTTGTAGGAACCTAGGGAAAAATATTTGAGGGACCCAACGGGAATCGAACCCTTTGCGCGCTACGCCAACCACTCCCTCTGTATTGTCCCTTCGAGGTTTCCTATTTGGGCATGGAGGCCCCGATATTACACAATTTTCAAAGCATACGTCGCATTTGAGATACCGAATCTGCTACTAATTCTTTGCCGATTAGAAATTGCTAACTTTTTTCTGCAAATTATCGCGTAACTTGCAGCGCGCGGTGATTCGAAACTTTCGACAAAATGGTGGTCTTCGTCACCCAGGGTCGTCACCGGAAGAGAAAGCGCGCGGATACTTGAGGGTGTCATAAATTAATCTTAGTAACCTCGGATATTGGGAAATAAAATACAATTGGCGTCTTACAGAAAATTATCCAGTTTACGCGAACCAAGCGTTCGGGTCTCGATTTGTCGAAAAAGTAAACGTTTATTCGTTTAGTTGCGCGTCTATTGTCAGGGCTTCACACAGACACGGTTTATGGCACGACCGAAGAAACACTCTTATTTTGGAGTTTCGGAACCTTTCTTTATTACTTGCATGCGTCGAAGTTTCAACATACCGAGAGAAGGCAAATTGTTTTGGTTACCTTTAGAACAGAGCTGCTTTCCCCTCCCGAGATTCCCCCACTATGCGACTGAGATGATCTCGCTCGAGTTGAGGACGCGAGGGGTCCAGCGACAGTTTTTTGGTACGAACACGCAGAATGTGTAACATAAACAAAAGGCAGTCGCTGGAGTTGTGACGGGAGGACTCCTTCTCGCCGCGCCGTAACTCGAGCGAGATCATCTCATTGTCAGTCGCATAGTGGGGAAAGGACGTGCCATTTACCCGCTCCCACGAAGATACAATTAGACACGTTGTATTTCGAACGAAACGCTCGCTTTGGAGGCCAGATAGAAAACTGACTCGTTAGAGAACGGACACAGAAATAGCAATCTCGGAGCACGCAGCTCAGCCGTAGCGTAGACTTGTAGCTAAAATAAATTCAAGCATTCCAGTCCCAATTATCTTGGGTGGCCCTTCGAGTATTCATTCTCTCAGCACACCGCGTGCAAATCCAAATCAAGCTCGGGAAAAATTGGGAAGAAGTTCGTGAGCTTAACATCTGTAGAAAGGAAGAGATTATCCGGTGTATCGTTTGATCGTTCGTTCACGTAAATAAAAGCCAACCGCTTAAAGGCTACTCCGCAACACGAGCACGTGACGAATTTCAAACTTCGTTCCGATACGGCAGATTAAACCGTCCCCGTTATATTCCAGGCGCCGCAGATCGTTCTTCTTTGAAACGCCAGGCTACCGATCGAGCAAAACGGAATAACAATTCGTTCTTTCGTTACACCCGACGATATTATTGTCCTGCTTTCGTTTCACCGAAGCTGGAGGAATTGAGCGTATCACGTTTGAAACGCTCCTTTTTCCACCTTTTCAAAAGCTTTTTACACCGGCTTCCTCGGTAAAACGCGAAAAAATCGCGGAACGTTAATTTTTAAACAGTTTCGTTAAATCTGTCATATTATGTACTATCGTCGTTCCTTTACGCCTTTTTCACACTCCATAGGCAAACTGTTACAGTTCGTTTATGTCCAAGTTTCATTTCTCGACTGTTTCAGCTTCTTGAAAAATGCGACAGAATTCTGCGAAGAGTTTGTTAAGCGAAACATTTAATACTTTCTTTGACAAAAGCAGAAATTCGTTTGGAAGAAATACGAGTGGAATTTCGCTTGGGTCATCGATGACTTCGTAACTTCCTTAACCCTTGTGTCAATAACTAATTTTAGTAGTTTTCTGTTAACAAAATTCTAAACTCGAGGCAAACGCGGATAGGAAATGTGCGAAATAACAACGATCTGGATATTTCAATCTTTCACCTGGAAGATGGAATATTTTAAGTGAGAATTATGCCAAAGGGTACCCGGCTATTGACACAAGGGTTAAAATAGACCTAGCTCCTCACCTTCCTTAAATTGGACTTAACCTAATCGTTGCAAACAGAATAACGAAGAGCAAACACTCCGTATCCTCTTTTCTTCGCGATAATGCAACGGGTTGCTGCGTAATTCCTCGCGGAGCGATAACTGAGGTTATTCGAACCGGTAAACCGCCTCAATGCGACCTTCCGCTGGCATTGCTCTATTCCCCGAATGTTGGCCGCGTAAACTGCTGCTTTTTTCCCCGGCCCGCTCAAAAGAGATTTCACCGTTCCTCGTGAAACGAAACCGCGTTCATTTCGCGTGAACTTTAATTGCTGCGTTTTATCGTTTCAGCGGTGGGAGAAAAGGTAACAGCCTATGGTCCTTACAAACACTCTCCTGATTTACACGCGGCCCCAACTTAATCGTATCGCAGCCACCTTCGATTTTACCTTTTACTCCTTCGTTTATCGTTCCCGTTTCCTAACAAGCTATTACCTTCTACGATTTTTCTCGTAAAACGTTCTTTCATCGACGTTTAATATTTCCGTTATTTTTACGCAACAACAGTTACGTACGTCGGTGTCGAGCAACTTTCTCCGTTTCTATAGTGGGCGACTGTAACGAGGCGAGGAATTAGCAATTAGTAAATATATTACGTCAAAGTAGCTTAAGGAAGCGTGAGTTTTCCGGAACGGTTGCTCGTGTGAAACGATTCAGCCGACAGAGGACCGAGGCGATCCTTATTAGCTCGCGAAGCACATCGTCTTCGTTATCCGATGCCTACTCGCGTGTAATTAACTACGAGATTACTGCCTGTAAAGCTTCTTTAACGACCAGTCGATACTCGTGTTTCTCGTACCTGGCTAATATGTAAACATACAGTCGTACGTATTTTTAGTTATTTTATACTGTTCGAGGTTGAACGTAGAATAAGAAAATTTCGAGAACAGTTTTTTCAACCGATGCTTCATGTTTAACCTACCAATGCAGTTATTCCTGCACACTTATAATTTGGACGAATATTTCCAAGGAACCTTTAAATTTGATGAAAAAAACTTTTTTCTGTTTTTGTTTTTGGTAGGACT